GCCTCCCCCAGCCTCTCCTGGGAGCAGAGCCTCACCACGTCCACTGAGATGCCAGCAGAGGGGTTGCTGATCGCCTGCAGGGACCGCAGGTAGGGGAACATGGTGGGGTCCGTGCCGAGCCCGCAGCTGACCAGCAGACGCACATGTACACGCCGGCCAAAGGCGGCTTCCCGCARTGCGTTGTCCAGCACTGGCCAGTACCTGGGGAAGGCAGGGTCCTGCCTAAGGGCCCTGGGATGGACAGGGGTCCTGGCAGAAGGGGAGACCTGCGAACCCGGGAGCCGCCCATGGGGGGGCTGTGCTCTCCAGGGCCTCGCTTCTCAGCGGTCACCTGGCAGGGTGGCTGAAGCGYGTGGTGGGGAAGTACTCCATCACTGAGGCGAAGATGAACTCYCGGGCACCCTCCATCACTGCCAGCACTGCATCCAGGTCCCGGGTGCGGCCTCTGGGGCAGAGGGCTGGTGGCGAAGCCTGTGGTGGAGAAGCACCCCTGCAGCACTGCCAGGGCTCCCACCTGGGCCCACACACCACCCAGGGGCCTTGTGGTGGGGGAGGGGAGGCGAGCCGCACTGCCTGGGAAGAGGGCTCTCAGCAGGGCCCTGGGCCCCCGCCTGAACCTAGCCAACGGCCAGCCTCTGGGGCGCTGGGCTGCACTGACTCTTCACGGACTGCTCCTGCCCCAGGAACCTTCTCCGCTTTCTCCGGAGTRGGACCCCCTTCTCCAGGGTCTCTCCTCGTTCTGCCATAGTCTTGGCTGCAGACCAGTCACTAGGGTAGCTGGGGSCTCAGAGGGTCGGTGCTCTGAAAGAGGGGAGCCGTGGGCATCCCCTTCCCCCCCGCAGAGTGTCTGATGCCTGGCGTCCCTAGCCCCCACAGCCTCTGAGCCCACCCCACTCAGCAGTCTGTTTGAGACCCCAAGGGCCACGGATCCCGCTGCCTCTCTGGCCAACTGTCTCCCACAGATGGCGCTGACCTGGCATCCTTTCCAGGAGCTGGGCCTGCCAGTGCCAGCCTGCTTGTCCCTGGCACTGGTCTCTGAGGACCCAGAAGCTGCTGGTGGTGCTGAGGACTAGGCCCAGGGTGTGGCAGGGCCCTTGCTGGTCTGGCCAGATAGGGGAGAGGAGGGTCCTGAGGGCCTCTCTCCCACCTTACCGAGAAGTAGGCCGTGGTGGGCATTCCGTCAAAGTGGCACCGGAGGGGCTGGAGGCGGTTGATGTGGGATGAGAAGTTCTGAGGCCAGGTTTTGGGGAGGACAGCCTGGGGTGCCCCCAGTACCCAGTACGTCTGGAAAGTTTTCTCCAGGTCCTGGGCCAGGCGGCTGCAGTTGTAGATAATGGCTCCAAGTTCCTTCACCTGCAGGAACCAGGGTCAGTAGCCACAGGGAGCAAGGCCTACCAGGGCAACCTGGGGCCCATCACCTGGCTCTGGGCAGGGTGCAGCCCTTCCCCCCTGGCAGCAGCTCTGCAGCGTCACCTGCAGGACCTGTGACAGTGCACCCAGGTGGAGGGCCACTGCTCCCTGGGTTCCTGTTTTTCCTAAGCGGTGTTTTCCAGTGCTGAAAGCAATGTTTGTTGGACACCCCAAAATTGCACAAAACACAAGGAATTAAAATTGCTCTAAATTGCACTGTTAAGGGATAACAACTGCTACCATGATCACATTTATTTTCTCTCTCTCCCTCTCACACACACACACACACATGATCTCTTCAGTGAAATGAAAGTACACTCCATGGAGAACTTGGGGCCACTCATCCYAAGAGAGGAAGCTGCTCACTTTGGTCTTTGACATGTGCTGTGTGTGGTGCTGTGGGTTGAACCCAGCCTCCAGCATGTGCCAAGCACACACTCTCACACTCTGCCACAGGCTTCAGCTCCAGCCCTCGGACACATTTTTGTTTTTTAATATTTTTTAGTTGTCAATGGATCTTTTATTCATTTCTATGTGGTGCTGAGGATCGAACCCAGGGCCCCACACATGCCAGGCAAGCACTGGACCACTGAGCCACGACTCCAGTCCCCCTTGGACATGTTTTTAATTCACTGCTTCTTCTAAAAAGCCTCTTGATTTGTAATCTGCATCTTTCTCTGATGGCTGTGGTCTAAGCAACTTCCTGTCCTTAAATGTTACTCCCTGGCATGAGTGCCGGGCCGAGCGGAATTCCATAACTGGCGGAGCCTGTGTCTGATCATTTCCTCTACAGAAAGGTGATGGCATGGCTCTGTGACCCAGGATTCCATCTRCTGACTTCTCGTGACACTGACTTCCTCTGATCAATGGGGACATCAGGCAAAGCCCTTGGGAGTCAGAGCGGGAGGAACTCCAGATGGGCCTCCTGTCCATGAGTCCTGGGACTTACCTGTGTCAGGGACCGCCAGTCCATGTTGGCACTGCCCACGTAGATGTGCCGCCCATCCACAACCCAGAATTTGGAGTGCAAGACACCCCCAGTGAACTGCCTCATGGGCACCTGTCGCACCTGGGCACCTGTGAGGGGACACGGGGCTCTTTGTGTGTGCTAGCTGCATGGTGAGCCTGATTCTGAGGTGTCGATCCTCAAAACAGCAGTGCCACCTCAATGTGGACGCTCTCTTCACTTGACTGGTGAGGCAATGGAGGCACAGCTGGCCCTGGGTCTCTCTGGGCAGCCCAGCTCCAGAGCATTTGAGATGACTGAGCCTGMTGTCACCTGCCACCTGGCCTCAGCCTCGTCCTCAGGGCTAAGCAGCAGGGCACCAGGCCACCCGCACTCTGCCCTGTGGAATGTGCCACTCTGGCTTCTGGGAGCCTGCCTGAGTCCCGGTGACATCAGCTCAAGGGAGCTCAGAGTCCTGGGCTTCTCCCTCCAGGGTCGAGGGGAGCAGTGGGGGCCTCCCCCACCCTGCCCAGCAGTTCTATGGCTCTTTGCCTTTGTCCCRTGGCGTCGGCAAGTCAGGGCCGCAGGGCCAGGGTGGAGAAAGCGCCTACCGTGGGCTGCCAGGACCTGCAGGTCGGTGGAATTCCTGGACAGGGATGGGCTATTGGTGGCCACCATTAGGGTGATGTCCTTGTCCAGCAGCTGCTGCAGCTTCTGCAGAATAGCCTCTCCCTGTGAGGCCACGCTGGCCATGAGAGGTGGCCCCCAGCTGGGCCCTCTTCCCTCCCCCCAGGACCTGTGGCTGCCCCTGGCCTAGGGCTGGGCCAAGGGTCTGGATGACCTTGGTTGGGAGCAGAATTGCACTTAGGCCAATCTAAGTGCTCTGACCCCCAGGGGCCTCCCCTCCACCCTGCCCAGAGCTCCCAAGAAAGGGCTTTACCCTGCCCTTTCCCAGTGCCCACCATAGCACTGGCCCTGGGCCTGGGCCCCAAAGCTCCACACAGATGGGTGCCCTGACTTTCTGTGTGCCCATCCCTGGGGCAGGTTGGGGCAGCCTTAGTCTCAGGGACAGGGGTGGGGGCCAGGGATGCACCGGCTGGGAAGACGAGTCATTGACCCCGATGTCGGACCCCGTGAGGGACCAGTAGTATGAGGCCACATGGATGCTCTCCTGGGCAGTGTCCAGCAGCTGCAGCCAGGCCTGGGCCAGTGGCTGGGCGGATGGGCTGCCAGCTGCAGATGGCAGGTCCTGAGGGATGCTTTCCACAAGGACAAGCCTGGAGAGAGAGGCAGGAGGRGGCCCGAGTGTGGCTGCCAGAGCCACCAGCCTGCCTTGGCCATCTGCTCCCTCCCTGCTGCCCAGTGGGAGGTCCTACCGCCCATGTGGTCTGGGGCCTGAGCCACCAAGCTGAGGATCCAGGAAGGGGTAGCTAGACTGAACTGGGCAGAGGAGGCCTGAGCCCCACAAGCTGTGGCAGCAGTGACACCCAGAAGTGTGTCCACCAAGGAACCTGGGGGGACGGGGCTGTCTGGCCTGCAGCCAGGCTCCACCCCAACCCGATGGGGATCAGTCGTTTCCATAGTGAGGTGAGTGGGGGGGGCTCTGGGGTCTGGGACCCCGACAGCAGGGAGCTGCCTTGGGGCAACAGCACCAAACCCCGGGGGATGAGAGGACCTGAGGTACCAAGACTCACTCAACAGCGGACAGCCTTCACCAGCCTGGCCAGAGCCCCGGGCAGCCCTGTTTTCTGCCAAGAGTCCCCAGCCCAACTTGAGCCCGACATTCCAGGCCCTTCCCGTGACCCATGTCCCCTGCAGGTGCTGGTGGAGGGTGGTGCTCAGCCCAGAGGAGGATCTGGTGGTTGGAAAGCAGGCACTGCCCAGCAGGCCTGCCCCCACCGCAGGCCCTGTGGGCTCACTCACTGGCAGGAGTCCCTCTGCTGCCCAGCCTCTCCTTCCAGGGCCTCCCAGGACTCAGGGGACACTTCTTCCGGGTGCCAGGTGCGAGGAAGGGGCACTTGCCACAGGAGGTAGGTGAGAGTCACGAGGCCCAACCCCAGCACGGCCAGCATCCCTAGCACCTGCAGGAGACACTGTCTCTGCAGGTCCTGGGAGGGCCGTGACCGCCCCCCAGTACAGGAACAGAGGGCCCTGCTGCAGCTGGGGAGGAGAGGAGGACAGAGGGAAGCCAGGCCCTCTAGGTTGGGGTTGGTGGTCTGCAGCCCACTGTGTGGTGCTGTGGTCAGTGGTAACTGGCTGCCCCAGCTTCCCTGGCCATGAGATGCAGGCAAGGTCTCCAGCAGCCCCGGGGCTTGCCTCCCCCGCTGGCCTGCCCTCCCGCCCAGGGCTGGTTTTCTCTTCTGTACTTGGGCCCAGGGTTCTAAGATTCTATTTAAAATTGACTTTTAAAGTAATTAGAATTGGGAATTAGGCTAAAACTTGTCTTAGGCTGTGGTATCCCTGGTAAACCCTCCCTCGAGACCCCGGGTCCTACCATGCTGGTTCTGCTGCATGGGCTGCGGCGTGGTCTGGAGCAGGGCCACTCGGGGTCCTCTGCTGTTCTGCACAGTGGTGCCAGCAGCTGCAGGAGGCAGTCTGGGCTCACAGGCAGCTCTGGCACCACGGTGTCAGCCCTTTGTGGGGTCCCTGCAGACACACGCTCAAACCCCTGGAGTGGGTCTCAGCCTGGGCGTGGCCGGGCTCCACTGCACACCCGCCACGGGCAGCCTGCGTGTGGATCTGGAGCTGGCTGCACGTGGCTTTCCTGGGGCCTTGGGCCTGTCTAGCCTGTGCCCTGCAGGCTGTGCATCCCCTCCCGGTGCCCCCCGTGGCGGGGTCTGGACGTCTGTGTCTCGGTTCCTTTTTCAGCCCAGCTGCAGCCGAGTCTGAAAGCACTCTTTCTGCTTTTTCGGCTTGGTTCCTCCTGACTGGCCCCAGCAGTTGCCCCCCTTCCAGGGTTGCCTGGTCTTGGCCCCTGGATGTGTGACCGCTGCTGGTGGAGGCCAGACCTGGTGAGGGATGCAGGCAGCCAGAAGCCTCCAGCAGACCGCGTGGTGTCCAGGGCAGGGCCTCYCCTGGCAGCAGGGAGTCTGCAGTTCTGGGATGGACTCACCTGTGCCCACAGCATAGTCCCTCCATGAGGAACTGGGAGCCCGGCTGGCACCGCTGCCCTGAGGGCACCACGGAGCAAGTACCTGGGAGCTGTGTCCACCCTCCCCGGGTACAGGGAAGGGCCTGTGCCCAGGATGGGGCCACTGTGCCCTCCAGCCCCCGACTGAAACACCACAAAGGCCCTGGTGACGCGAGGGGTCTGAGGTTCAGGGCCCGGGGGGCACTGGATGCCTGTGTGGGGTGTGGGGCTGGGCCAAGGGGCCCCTGGGGCTTCTCCCTGCTGTCCTTCCCAGCTGGGGCTCAGAGAACTTGGCCTCCTCAGCCTGGGAGGGTGCCCAGGGCCTGGGGCTCTGTGTGGCCCAGAGCCAGTGCGCCACAGGGTGGTGGGACCCGAAACCATAGCTTGAAGCATGGGGGACATGGGCTCAGGCAGAGTCACCAGGCCCAGGATCCCTCTGCCCAGGTGTCCCTGAGGAGGGGAGTAAGGGCCACACCCCAGGCCACCTGGGCTCCAGCTCTCAAGATGGCCGCCTACACTGGGGCAGCCCGGGCCCTGCGAGCCCAGCTTCAGACTTCCCCTCCTCCGTGACTTTCTGGGGAGGTGGCCTGTGTGGGGTTCTGGGCTGGGGCACTGAACCCCACACAGGGGCTTGCTCTGCACTCCTGCTGCTCCTCCTGGGAGAGGGCTTTGGCCCTCAAGGTGCCCAGACAGAAAGGCTGTCCAGCACTGCAGCCCGCTGGACCCGGGTCCTGTCAGGGGCGGCTCAGGCACCACAGACCCTCGGACCTCTTCCAGCCATGGGACCACTCTGGGRCTAGGGGACAGGCCTCCTAGGGCCTGGGCCGCTGAAGCTCTGTCCTCCCTCAGGGGCCCTGGGGACCTGTGTGGCCCTGGGGGACGGCTGGCTGTATGATGGAGGGAGGCATCTCCGGGCTGAGCTGGGCTGGGGGATGGGCCCTGAGCCTCCCCAGCCCCGTGGTGGGCAGCCAGGGAACCCTGGAGGCATCAGAAGCCACGGCCGAGGTGTGGGGATGTGCCCTGCAGGGCGTGTGGCTCACTGCCAGCCCCAGGATGGGGCAGAGAGCCTGGATGTCCCAGCTTCCTGGCTGCACAGACTGGGCCAGGAACCGGCGGTGCAGGGCCAGTGGAGGCTGTGAGCCCCTGGGCCTGGGGTTGCTGGGAGCATGAGCCGTGGTGGTGGACAGCAGCTCTCCCAGGGCTTTTGGCCTTCCCCACCCAGCTCAGGCCTCCCGGCACCTACCTCTGAGGGCCCTGCCTTGGCATCCATCCCGGCTCCAGTCACAGACTGCAGCCCCAGGCTCAGGGCAGGCCCTCCTGCCTCCTCTCCAGCCCACTGCTTTCCTCCSGGCCACTTCCTCTTTTTTCTGCCTACCCACCCCCACCTAAGAACAGACAGCTGGAGCTGTGTGGGCCACGAGGGGCGGGGCTGAGGACTTTCACCCGAGAGAGAAAACCACCCCCTCAGCCCTCCTAGGGGTCACATATAGGGTTCACCTTGACCACGGGCCACAGAGACCTGAGCAACCAGACTGACCACATCTAAGACCAGGTGGTCTAGAGGCTCTGATGGCTCCACAGCCACTGGGGGGTGGGTCCTGTGGGCTCCCAGTCCCCCACCCCTAGGATCCCTAGCTTCATGGTCCCACAGCTGCTGCTGGAGCTCAGCCATTGCTCCATGTTCCTAGCAGAGGGGGGCCGCTGCACTTGATTTTCTGTACTTTGCCCTCCRCCCTTTTGAAAAGAGAATAAGGGACGTCCCAGAGGAGGCTCCCCAGAGCTCCCACGGCACTTTCTCTTATCTGTGATCTAGAAGTCGATGGAGATTTGGTCACAGGCCTGCACCTAGCTGCACAGGAAGCTGGAAGGTGGAGGCCGCTGGGGCCTCTGCACCTGAGAATGCAGAGGCCTGGCTACAGGTCAGCCTCCCCATACCGCTGTGGCCGGGGTCTCCTGAGTACAGTCCCTTTGGTCCTTCAGACTGGGCCTTGGGAGTAGCCCTCTGCTTGAGGTCAGTGCTTACTCACCCCTCACTAGGTGGTGAGCTTCTGTCCAGGGTGCTGACCTCAGAGTGTCCACAGGGAAGGACATCGGCTCACTGAGGCAGATGGTGTTCCCCAGAAAGGGCGGGAGTCCTCGTCCTTCAGCCAGCAGGGGTGTCCACGGCCRCGGAGAAGAGTGTCATGGAGTGGTCTGCTGTGGCGGGAGCATCACGTGGGCCTGCAGCCCCACGCAGCCTGGCCGCCACACCCACAGCGTCCTTCCCTGCCTCTTGCGTGGCCAGGCAGTCACCCATGCAGACCCTTATTGGCCACCTGAGCAGGGGAGTTTGTCCACCTGGGGGCCACGAGGAGCATAACCACACAAGGTGAAACCACGCGCAGAGAAACAGGGAGATGGGGAGTTAGGTGGACACCAGGGGCTGGGGCGGGCGCCACCGGCCTGCGGACTGATGCGGGTTCCCAGGCTGGAGGCGCTCCCACCATGACCGAGGAGCCCCCAGCTCCCTCCACTCCACATACCACCCACCCACAGGCACCTGAGAATACATGAGATGCACATGGTGACAGTGACGTCAGTGACACTGAAGCAGGCATTTGTGCCGGCACGGGCCTGTGTTAGAGCCACAGCCATGCTCTGAGCCCCAGCRGTCCACTCCCTGGGACTGCACCCAGAGGAGACTGTGCTGGTCACTGCCTCCGGCTCCTGGCAGGATGTGGCTCACCCCCGGCTGCACTTGACCTGGAGATGCTCCCTGTAGGCACTTTTCTCACGCAGATGTGTGGCTGCTAGTCCTGGGTCCCGTGGACCTTTGGGAAGGAACCTCATGCAGAAGAGATCACAGTATGCCGTGCTCCATGCGTGGCCTGTCCACAGTGGCTGAGTGGAGGGACGGGGTGTGGACCTGAGGTTCGCCTCTGGGTCCCGTGTGCTCTCCCTCCAGTCTCGGGAGCTGGGCCCAGGCAGGCGAGGTCAGCTTTAGTAGATGCTGCCACTTCTCCCAGGACACCTGAGCTGGGCTTGCAGGGCCGGCCCAGGGCTCTCAGTTCAGCTGTGCAGTAGGACGGTTGGGCCCGCCATGGTTCCAATCTGCAAGTCTCTGCTGGCCACTGGTGTGGAGCCTCTTCTAGTCACTGACCACGGAGCCTCTTGGACGGTGCCTGTCGGAGTCTCATGCCCGTCTTTCACCTCCTGGCTTCTTGTTTGTTTTACACTTTGGATATAAATTYCTTGTAGGACTTTGAGGGTGTGATGTCTTTCCTCTCCTCTTCCTTCAAGGTGAATTTGGATAAGTGGACGCTCTGAGTTTAAGGAAGTTTAATTTATGTTCTCGTAGCTTCAGTTATTTAAAATGTTTCTTTTGTAGGGAATGCTTTTTATGTCCTCTGAAGAAACCGTTGTCACTCAAGTCACCTTCGGATGACTGGTTGTCACAGCGTCCCCTCTGGGTTGGAAGCGGGCTCTCGTTCTCACCCCGCCCTCTGTGTGTCCTGAGCCATTTCCGTTGCTCAGCAACGTGCTGATGAGACATCTTAGGGATCACCTGTGTATTCTTCTCCACGGTCGTTGGGTGTTTGGGATCCGAGGGCTCCTAACTCTCCTGACCGCTGGACCACCTTGTGCCACTGCTTCTTTGAGGATGTTTTCTATCCTGCCCTGTGGATTGCTCCGCGCCCCACAAAGTCGGGCCTGTGCTGTGTTTGTTTGTTTGTTTTCCTGTAGGTCTCCTTTCCCTTTTGTCTGTGGTTCATTTTAAGTGGCGTCTATCATCGCATCTTCCAGATGCAGAAAGACTAGGGCTGGGACTGTGGCTCAGCGGTGGAGCGCTCCCCTAGCACGGGCGGGACCGGGTTCCATCCTCAGCACCACATAAAAATAAAGGCACTGTGTCGTGTCCATCTACACCTAAAAAAAAAAAAAAAAAAAAAAAAAGATGCAGAAAGACTTTTAAAAATGCTGTTTTCCTTAGCCTGCCCGTTGCTGTGCGCTGGGTGTTTTCTTGCCTCCAGACATGCCTGCTCTTTGCAAGTCTGGTCATTTTTTTAAAATATATATATATATATTTTGGTTGTCAATGGACCTTAATTTTATTTATTTTTATGTGGTGCTGAGGGTCCAACCCGGGCCTCACACATGCTAGGCAAGCGCTCCAGCACTGAGCCACAGCCCGGCCCAAGTCTGGTCGTTTTTGATGGGACATTATGTGGGGGCTGGGTTTCCTTGTGTTCCTTTAATGAATGCTGGACTTTGTTTGGGCAAAGATCCTTTCATCTCGGGACTCGCCCTTAAGCACTGATGGGGCACAGAGGTGCTGGCTCAGTCCTGCTCAGGCTGCCAGGTCTGCTCACGAGTTCTGTCCTCTGGAGCACAGCGCGCTCGGCCAGGTCGGGTTCAGGACCTGTCTGGTGGCCATTCCCAGCCTCCTGGGGCTCCTGTCGTGTGTGTAGGCCCTGGCCTCTCTCCTCTGCCCCTGACTTGGTGCTGTCCCCTCCGCCCTGCTGTCTTGCTTGCTGAGCTCTGGCCACCTTGGCCCCCCCACCAACTCAGCCACCTTGCCACCTCTTTGGAGGACCCTCCCGGTGTGATTACAGCCACCATCAGTCAGTAAGTGGCGACTGCGGCTCATCTGGCTCGTCCCCCTGTGAGGGGACAGTCCTGTGCCACCACCGCCCAGTGTCTGGAAACTGCTGTTTGGGGTATTTCCCACAGTTCCAGGCGAGGGACGAGGCCCCACCCGACTTCTTGTTAAAGCTGATTTTTTAATTCTATCTATTTTTGAGGTGCCGGGATGGAACAGGGGCCTGGTGCATGCTAGGCAGACGCTCTACCCTGAGCCACACCCTCAGCCGTTAAACTTCATTTTGAGCAGAATTAAAGTTTACTGTCATTTGGGGGCATATTTTGAATGTTTGGCAATTATTTCTTTTTTTTTCTTTTTTTATTTCACAGCTTTATTGAGGTAAAATTTAACAATAGAATGTACACATTTGAAGTATGCGATTWGATCAGTTTTGACTTTACACATATATAACCAGTACAGTTGTTATGGGCCAGGCTGTATGGGCAATGACCAAACAGACTCCATTTACCCTGAGACCCCATACCATATAGGAAACGCTTCTCCAGTGGGAAAGCCCCGCCTCTGACCCATGAACATACCAGCACAGCACACTGGGCAGCACAGAACAGCAATTCTTATACAACGTGAAACTGTTCTTTGGTTTCCATTTTTCTTGGGTGACCACCGTGTCAGAGATTGATTGTCTGGATGTTAGTGACCACTCTCTAACCTGTAGTCAACTGGAGTCATTTTGGTCCCCTTCCCTTCTGCTTGCTTGCTGCTCTGCCAGCCTGGAAAGTCCTGTGGGAAATACCAGTGGACCCACTGCACTGTCTCACTGGCTGCCCAGTTCAGCTCTGTACCTGCTTGTTCACAGCTATCTCCGCCCAGATGTGGTTTTCGCAGTTTTTGCCTTTGAATATCCTAAAATGCTCAGGCTCGGGGCTGTTCCTTGCAGAGACAGTTATGGGTTCTGTGGGAAGCAGTCACTGGCCGGCAGGCTGAATAAAGACTCTTCAATTTGGACAAAACTGGGACTTGGTTGTTTTCTGAGCAACCTGCCGCACAACACAATCAATATAAAAAGCATTTCCATTACTCTTTTAAAATTCGAAATCATACAGACYGTGTTTCCTRCATGATTTATTACATTACAATCGATCATCATAAGACACATAGAACCCCACCCCCACATCACAACTACTTCAAAAATTAAATGGTGCACCTATAAATATCTCACAGGTCAAGGAAGAAAGCACAGAAAGGTAAATAAAAAGTGCTCCGTACTAAGTTATAATAAATGCTTAAACCCCCAAATATCTGGGATGAAACAGTACTCAGAAAAACATTTATAATTTAAAGTACTTGTATCAGAGAGAAGCTAGAATAACAATCATTACTTTTAAATTAGGGAGTAGGATGGAAAAAGTAAGAGTGGGAGCAGAAATACATGAAATAGAAAAGAAATAATACAGCTAAAATTGATAAAAAATCAAGTAAGTCTAATCAAGGAAAAAAAGCAAGAACACAAAATTGATATCAGTGGAAAGGGAGCTATCAAAGTACCCCTTCAGATGCTAAAATATATTAAGGTCATATTACAATTGAACACCGACTTATGTGATAGCTTATATAACATGGTCTATATTAGAGAAAGATCCGTGTGCTTATGAGAAGAACGTGTATTAATCATTGATGGATAATATACTCTATATATGTCTGTTAAGTTTAAGTTATCAATTATGTTTTTT